GGGGATTCGTGTAGAGAAAATATTTTCTTAGGGTGCGTCCAAAACACAAGGTTACACAATGCACTATGCAGCAGGCGATATTAGCAATCGCCAATAAATTGCCTATTTGTGTTGAATAAAAAAAAATCAAAATTCAGAAAAGAAGAAAGAAGGCCAGCGCCCTAGCGCCATCGCGCCTTCAATTTTGCAGATGCAACACGGACATCCATCATGTGCGAATAGTTGTATCTCTGCGCCGTCATCAACGCGCTTCCTTTTACTCTGCTCTATTTCCATACTGTGTTTGTTTCTGTTTGTCTTGTTTGCATTTGTAGCGGTGCTTTTAAGATTGTATGAGAAACACAGCCGTAAATAGAGAGCCGTAATAATCGAGCCTCATTTCTTAACTTTTCTCACGACACCTCATTGGCAGCACAAAGCGGAGCTGTGGAACATCGCGAATTTACAGCTTCCGCCATCGCGCCTTCAATTTTGCAGATGCAACACAGACATCCATCAAGCACGAATAGTTGTATCTCTGCGCCGTCTTTCCATTTGCTCTATTTCCGTATTGTGTTAGTTTCGTTTGTCTCATTTGTAGTGGTGCTTCAACGGCTCAATGAGCAACACAGACGAAAATGAGATGTGCCCTAATCAATTATCATTTTGAAAAGGAAAAAAATGTTAGAGGTCTCACAAGCTATCAAAAGGAGGCACGTGTAAAAATTGACTGTGTCACCACTTTTGAGAGAGTGACGCATGGCGGATGAGGACGGGGGGTGATAATGCGTCTCTATGTTACCAAAAAGGTAAAAATCTCGAAGAAAATAATTTTTTACAGATCTTGGAAATTTTATGTATGTATAGGTATTTTGACAAAAGCTCGAGAGCTATTTTGATTTCCTCACTTTATGACGCTTTTCATCCTCTTTTCGAAAACTATAATCGAGAAAAATTTTCAATGCCTCAAAGCTAATTTTACGACGGAAAGTGACCAATTTTTCACGTAATAGCGAAAGCTAAAAGCCTAAAGCGTAATAGCGTAAGTTTGTACTATATTTAATCGAATGTCTAATAGTGAGTGAAATAATTGTCATTCATTACAGCTTGATTAAACCAGTATGTCCCAATTTTTTACATTCTCCTCTTCAAAATTTTGAGCTACGGATACAAAATCTGAATTCAGCAAATAAATAAATATAGAAAACACAACATCAATTTCCCAGCATTTTTGTAGGCCCACGCGCCTCTGGGGACTTAAATCCAGTTAATATTTCCAGGACCTCTATATTCACCTTTGACTTAGTTCGTTTACATATGAATTTCCCGCATTTAATCTCTCATATTATTTTGCTATATCTGGCAGAGGGGCGCGTCTTCGATGCGTAAGGGAGGCGTATCTGCCAATGGCAGATTGGCCTCATGGCCAGTCCGACTCTGCATGACCATACCAGAGAAGCAACTTAGTCTTGATGTTGAATACGATATCAAGTTTTTATAGACTAAGGAGAACATGGTGGACTAATAAGAACAAGAACTATCAAGAGGTCTCGACTCAAATTGAAATTTTTGAACTTTTTGGCCTTGTTTTCCCCGTAACATAGTGTGAGCCCACCACTACTTTACCACCTTGTCATATACGTGTCCATGATAAAGACACCTTGCCGTCTAGTTTAAGGACTCCAAAACCGAAAAAAACTGACAACCATGCTGATGAATTTGCTCCCTAACTTCTGCATAAAGAGTTTGTCTTGACGTAAAAGTGGACTCTCAGGGTAGCGTGGGATATCCCCTCCATTACAGCCTCAAGTTTGAGAGCTGTTTTGAGCTTTGTATTTATGTCAGAGAAAACCAGTGGTACCATCGTGTTTCTCGCGAGATGCTATGGAAGATACTGTAATTAAAACGCAAATTCCTGCTACATGCAAAAGCTCCATTATCAATCCGCTGGGAGTATGAGCTTTTAACGTGGGGACAACCCTCATTAGCATCTCCACTCGGGTTGATCTTCGAAGCTTAATCTGCCGTGCTAAGGAAGAACGCCGTATGAACATTCGAGAGTTGCCAAATTTCCTTAAATAAAATGTTTATTTTTGGGGAAAATTAAACATTTTTCCTTGAGATTTTCAGAAATTTTGGATCAAATTGCAAACAAACTAACCTGAGAAATTGGTAGACAAATATTCAACAAATTTCCTGAAAATTAGTGATATCCCAGGAGAAAGAGCCTCCCTAAAAATGGCCCCTTTTCGGGAACCCGGGGATTTCATTCGTATGTGGCTTAAATGAAACCTTATGATGAGACAAGCCTCCAGTAAAAATTTTAGCTTGAGTATATGTCTTGTTTCCGAGATACAGCGTTGCAAAGTTGGCATATTTGAGCTTTAAAATTCTCATATTTTTATGGATTTTCTTCCAAAAACCAACTTCAAAAATAACTTTACAATACTTACACGAAGCGCACACGATAATTTATAATATAAAAAGTCTCCAGTAAGAGTTTTGACTCGTGCGTAAGCCTTGTCTTGGCAGTACAACGTTGCTAAGTTTACATTTTTCAGCTTTAAAAAGCTCATTTTTTAAAGTTTCTCATTCACAAACCGCTATTACTGAAGATCGAACTGTATTTTGGGGCATAAAATCAACAATTAGTGATACTTGTAGATGCATAGTATAATTTATAAAAGGATACAATAATACAGTGTTGCAAAGTTTTCAACTTGTATCTGGGGAAATGTCTATTTTGTGTTATTTTATTGAAGACAAGATTGAAAAATCGTTGATAAGTGATATTGTGAAGCAAAGAAATGTGGAGGACTTTTGTCAATCCTAGGTAAAAATTGGAATTAAAATGGCACTGTTGCCAAATTTATTTAAGTTTCTCTTAACATTCCATTATAAAATAAGTTTAAAATAAGGATACTTCCAATAATTATCTGATTTTAAAACGTAATCCAAGTGAATTTATGGCATACAATGAATGGCTCAGCATCAGTGTTGCTTTCAAAATCTAAAAAATTCTACCTTGCCTTGGATGTCAATTTTACCTTTTTTTTAGGCAGAATGCAAAAAAAAAAACATAAACTATGGAAACGCTCGAGTTTTTTAAGTACAAATAAATCTTGATACAGACAATACATTCATTGTTCCTTATAGGATAGAATATCTTCGACTTAAGAATTACAAATGATGAGAAAATTAAATAAAAAAATAAATTAAATAGATAATTTTATAAAAAAAGAAATTAAAAGAATAAAATATTTAAAATTATTAAAATATTGTTGCATGGATTTGTCAAAAATTATTATTTCGGCATGACTACAAACTATTTTTTCATTAACAAGTTGTTAAAGTTCCATTTTTGTTGAGGGTTGTCCCCATAGTATTAAGACCTCTGTGTCACAGTGACAGCATTCCGAAGAGAATATGACCAGGCTATTGTCATACCTATTTCATACTTGTATTTCAAAATGAATTTAAGCATTCACATTATGATCTCGGCACTGGATGTAAATTCTTGGTAGAATTCGCTGACCCCTCCATTCTGATAAAAAATACATCCATCTCCCAGTGAAATATGTCTGGAAAAAAGTATATGCTCAATACGCAACGGTGCAGTGTCTTGGCAGTGCCAATCATGTCAAGCTCGTATATGTATAGAGCATGTTGAAAACATATCTTTGATCCAGATGCCCCAAAATAATTGATATACTTGGTAAAAGTAAAAAATCGGCAACATGTTGAGGTACTTGCTATATATTTGAAGGCAAGACTATACTCACGTATCAATTGAAGAAAATATTTTCACGGATATTAATAAATAAATATAAAAAAATTACAAAAGACTAAACAAATTAAAAAAAATAAAAAAAATAAATTAGAAGCATCTTTATTTTAAAATCATTTTATTATTTTTTGTTTGAAAAGAATTATGAATAAACTTGGCAGCAGTATTTTTTCCAAAACCAATCGTTACCTGGGACTGACATCAGCCCTTGATATTTTGCCTTGATACGAGTTAAGATACCCATTGAAGTCGTGTTCAACAAGAAAAAAGCATAATCCATGCAGAGTTCAAAGTTTTAAGCATTGGCAACGTTGTATCACCACCGATTAAAGTATTCTTCTTCAAATACAAACATTAATCTACAGATGACATAAATGGTTGATTTCCTGCCTTAAATCGTGATTAAATTCTACGAAAGTAGCTTCTTAAACACAGAACTCAAAAATATAGACATTTTTAAAGCTCAAATATATAAACTTTGCAACCCTGTATCGTTAAAACTATACTTGCATTTTGAGTTAAATTTTAACAAAAGCCTTAATCTATCATGAAATTGCATCTAAACCCCTAAAACATATCTTTTAGCGGTCACTAAGTTCGTTTTTAAGTTAAGAAACTTGATAAAATGAACATTTTTAATAGGTTTTTTATGTCAACTTTGCAACGTTGTTTTAACAGAATTAGTAGTATTAATTTTTCAATAGAAATATGCATTCGATAATAATACTAACATTTGATAAAATTTTACAAAATATCATAAAACATCCAATTGAATCGTTCTCAGAAAATAAGATACCTGAAAATATGAGAATTTTAAAGCTCAAATATGCCAACTTTGCAACGCTGCATCTCGGAAACTAGACGTATACTCAAGCTAAAATTTTTACTGGAGGCTTACCTCATCATAAGGTTTCATTTAAGCCACAAACGAACGAAATCCCCGGGTTCCCGAAAAGGGGCCAAAAAAGGCCCTTTTTTAGGGAGGCTCTTTGTCAACGCCTGAAGGCTCATACGGCGTTTTGCCTTAGCACGGCTAGAGTCCCTTCATACTGAGAGTCAA